AATAGTCTGTGAATAGTCTGGTCATTCACTCATCTATCCGTCCATCTATCCACTGAGAAAACAAAGATATCTGAGTATCTATTTTCAGTTGGCATTGTAAATCCAAAGCTAAATGTCATGGCTTGGTGTCTCATAGTCCAGAAGGCAAGGAAGACTTAAAAATAATGATTAAAATCTACACTCACATGCACACCATGGCATCAGACAAAGAGAAGTGTCATTTCAACTTTGCAACATGGATAAGGAAGGCAACAAGAGGAAACATCACTTGAACTAGGTTTTGAAGTCTAACAAGGGGATTTCCAAGCAGTTAAGACAGAGATGCTAACTCCAGGAGGGAGAAAAAGTCATGTGCAAAGGCAGAGAGAGGAGCATATGGCCTGAGATGAGTGAGGTGGGACAAGGCCTATGATGAAGACAAAAGCAGAAACTAAATCATAGAAAACTTTGTAATTTCATTGAAGGAGTTTGATATTTAGACTATAGCTGGTATTGCACCCCTGATGCTCATATAGCATTTGAGTGACAAAGTCTGATTTTCTGTCTTTTCTGTTTTTTGAGGGAGATTAGCCTTGAGCTAACATCTGCCACCAATCCTCCTCTTTTTTGCTGAGGAAGACCGGCCCTGAGCTAACATCCTTGCCCATCTTCCTCTACTTTATATGTGGGACGCCTGCCGCAGCATGGCTTGCCAAGCAGTTCATAGGCCCGCACCCAGGATCTGAACTGGCAAACCCTGGGCTGTCGAAGTGGAACGTGTGAACTTAACCACTGCACCATTGGGCTGGCCCCTGATTTTCGTTTTTGAAAATTCATATGAGAGCAGTCAGTCTAAAGAATTGAGAGTATGTAAAGGGGGTGTTGAACTAGGTAGTTACCGCATAGTTTTACAAGGAATGATGAGGACCTAAATGAAGCCAGGGAAGTGAAGATAAACAAGAAAATATGGTAAAAAAATTGGTAGGATATGGTAATTTATTACATGTGAGGTCAGGACAGTGAGAGAGAAGGAAGATGGTGGACGGCTCTATGATTTCAGGTTTGGATAGGAAGGTTTAACCAAATCAGGAAACTTCTGAAAGTGAAAGTGGGTTCTAAAATAATCAAATGTTTATTATGTTGACATTTATTTCTTAATGAATTTGTTGGTTTTTACATTAGTGAATATATAAAATACATTTATTCAAAAACTAGTTTTTTTGTTTTTTTTTTTAGATTAGTTTCCAAATAAAAATCAAAACAAAGCAAAACATTTAAAAACAATTACATAAGTAGAATGATTATCTTTGGTTCACTTCCATACACTTTAATCAGTTTCGTAGCCATATCTGTCTCTAAAACCATGCCACTGAAGAATGTATTTTTAAATATGTTCAAATAAATTTGTTTTTTTAAATAAAATTGCTTGTAATCTTTTTCAAAGTTTCATTTTATCATTAATCAATTTGAAGTTGTTGACGACTTCTATTGTTAAAGTTCTATAGGCCTGAAATATTTTTGGTTGAGAAAATCCTTCCTTCTTTTTCCGAAGGTACATGTAAGCTCAGAGTTAATTCTGCTAAATGAATAACATTCTTCGTTCTACATTTTTTTATTGAAGTGTGTAAAAATTTTAGCCCAAGTGTTTTCAACAGCACTGCCTTTTTACTTTTATTCAAAGTAACTTTTTTCAACAAATATTTTTACAGAAAATTTCATCAAATAAGATGTCTCTATGATTGTTTTCAAAGTTTGATGCTGCAAAAAACAAAGGCCTTCTATTTTCATTCTATTCTGGTACAGAATATAAATTTATTCAATTGAAAAGAGGACCTTCAAGTTTTTCCTCAGAAGACAATTTATTCTGGAGCTCAATTATAGATTTTCAATTTTCAAAAATAAATTATGTGCCCTGTTTGAACTCTCATCATCTGATTTTCTAAGTTCCTTTTTTTGTTTGTTTCAGTAGGGAAAAATTTGTATTCTATTTCTAAGTTTTGGTTTCAATTTCAATTTTCTGAAAGTGTCAAAGTTGACAATTTTTGACATTTTAAAGGATTTCCAACAAAAAAGGGTTGGAAAAAAAGTAAGCAAAACTTAGAAAACCCTTTCACAACATAACTTAATACCATTTTGGGACACTTAGATTGGTTTAAAAGGTTTTTTAAAGGCTAAAACATTTCTATGGATTTATTGATGATGGGCAGCAAAGAGAGAAAGTGTGAAAATCCTCTTAATGTGTCAGTGTGTTTGTGTATGTGCAGAGGCTACAGCATACAGCTTGGTATATTAGATTGGTAAAATATTACAGATTGTTTGGATATAATTATTAATCTTGTGTGTATACAACCAATTCTCAATATATTTACTCACCATCTATTTCTTAAATCAAAAAGAATATTGCCTTTGCTACTATTCGTGGTCAACAGATATTTATATTTTATCTCCCTGAAAGCATATCATCTTAACCTTCAAGATTGAAATTATAACTAATTTTAGAATCATAATGACAGTACTCTCAGGTATTTCGCCAAAGAATAATTAACTTCCAAAGCTTTACCTAGAGTCCCTGGTTTAGATGAAAATATACTATTATTGGGATGACTCTAACTGACTTTCTATTTGAAATAACAAACTACTCACTATTTAATCATTTGCAAAATTTTTCTTTGGAAAATAGAGCCAACCCATGAGCAGTTGTTGCTATTCATTTTGTATATACACAAGAAAACTTGAGATTGAAAAAGAGTGAAATTAATTTAGAATAGTCATTTATCTAAATGAAAAGTCACGTTTCACAAAGTAATATGTAAACCTACTTTGTGTAACTATATTAATTAAATCATGATCTACTGGCATGGTTTTCTTTGCAAAATTTTAAACTAAATGCTGTTTCTTCTCCTGCAGATTTATGGTGGATAATAAATTTCAACAAGTGTTTTGTGCAAGTAATATATTTTTCACTGAACATCTATTTCTTGGATTTTAAATTTTTTGGTTGCTCGCTGCTAAAAGAGTTTATTGCAAAATGAAAATTCCAGCAGTCAGTGAAATTAGTTAAAAATATTCAGCGTAAAATATAGAACAAAGCCATTATAGCAAGAGTGTGATGGCTGCTATACGCTCTATGGCAGGACCTCTCAGCCTCTCTTTCCTACATATATAACAAATATACTTAACCTATACCTTCCCACATTTCATACAACCCCTGCTAAGTGGAGGCTTAGCAATCCTGTTAAACTCACAGGCCATGGAACAGGCCAGGCAAAAGTGGCTGGGACTCCAAGTGGCCAGGACACCAAGTGGCCAACAAAGACAGTAGTGTCTAATACTTCTTCCATTGCCCCTTGAGACTAAAAGGAGGTACCTCTCTGTGATGCTTACATCTGAGAACATTTTGTTCTATCACGCATACAGTACCATGTGTGGTTGTTCTCTCTGGAGAGGATCAGGAAGAGACAGAAGTGTTACTGCTAGTCCCTTTTTTTTTTTTTCCAGATTACTTACATGTTAAAGTGAATATTCTATTTACTTAATTGGTTCTCACACACTACTAAATGACACCATGGCAGAACCTGGAGGCAAAAAAGTGGAAGTTTCCCAAATGCATGTTATTTTAAGGCATTTCTTAACTGTAAAACTTCTGAAAAATAGGAAGACTTCATGAAAAATATGTTGAAAACTTAGAACAAGGACTAAACTGAATAGGATGCAAGAACAAGAATAAACTAGTGCTGTCTTAGGCTAACCCATAGTAAGGTCACCCTAGATACAAGTGACTGGTCCATTAACTAATCCAGGGAAGGGAGAGATAGTTTTAAGTTATGATGATAAATTCAACCTGGACATGATGAGTTGTTGATCAGTGTGGTACATGCAGGTGGCAATGCGCAGGAGATATTTGGAAATATTACTTTGGAGAACAGAAGAGTGGTGAAAGATAGAAATACAAATTTGGAAGTTTTCAGCATACGGGTAGAGTTGAAACTATATGAGATGGAAGATTAAGTAAGACATTTTCATCACTAACATTTATTGAGCATTTCATTGGCAGTTTCTGGGAATAGGACCAATGGCCTTCGTCTAGACATTGACAAAAAAGGAGAGAATATAATGTTATTACTTTACTCTAAATGACATGTGTATTAGTTTCCTGTAGTTGCTGTAACAAATTACCACAAACTTGGGGCTTAAAGCAACTGAAATTTATTCTCTCACAGTTGGGGCTACCAAAAGTCCACAATCAGTGTCACTGTACCTGAATCAAGGTGTCGTCATGGCCACATTCCCTCTGAAGACTCTAGGGGAGAATTTGTTTCTTGACTCTTCCAGCTTCTGGGGGCTGTGAATGATCCTTGGCACATGGCCACATCACTCCAGTCTCTGCTTTTGTCATCACATTGTTTACTTCTCTTCTTCCTCTGTGGTATAATGTCTCTCTGTTTCCCTCTTATGAGGACATGTGATTATATTTAAAGCCCACTCCGATAATCCAGGATCATCTCCCATTTCAACATCTTTAATTTAACCACATCTACAAAGTTCTTTATTGACATATAATGTAACATTCACAAGTTCCATAGATTAGGATGTGGATATCTTTGGCGGTGGTGTGGGCTATTATCAGCCTACCATAACTTGTATCTACCAAGTCAACATTGGTGTGTCATCCTATCTCTATCATTACCCCTGAATATAGAAGACTTGGTACAAAAAAAGCAATGTAAAATACCTTATTTTTTATTGATTATAAGTTGAAATGAGATTTCGGATATATTATAGCAAATAAAATATGTTGTTACTTTAAAACAATTTTTCAACATAGCTACTAGAAAATTTAAAATTGTATATGAAGTTAACATTTCATATTTATTAGCACACGTCTAGAATGTGTGAGTTTAAATCTCTTCATCTTGTAAAGAAATTGCTGTTTTCTTACAAATAAACAATTAAAATTCCTGAAAAGTGCACATCAGTTTAAGTAAATGCTCAATTTTATTCTATACACATACTTTGCTTTTTTGTAATCCGTATTTATTCAAAGTATTTACTGCTGCTTTTCTCCATTTCACAGAAACAAACCAACAGGACTTCATATGAAATCATTGACCACCACGTGCTCCTTCCACCTCCATTAACTCCTAATTCTAGGCACATGAGAGCCAAAGGAAACCACAGAGCCACAGGCACTCACTCACAGCCCTGAAGCAGCTGCTCACAAAGGCAGTGTCGCAGGGCGAGTGTCAGTCTGCCTGGCAATCTCCTACAACTGAGGGGAAATAAGGTAATTTTTAGGAGTTGTTTGACATTTTCTTTTGAAAGAGGTCAGATTCTAAACGGTGAAGGGTGCTGAGGAAATAAGGAGAAAATGTTTATGGTGAGGACGGATCCAAGAGGAACTTGTGGGAATAGAAGAGTCTTCCAGGAAAGGTTTAAGATTTGAGATCTGTGTGTAGCTCTGAGGGAAGAGTTGGACAGAAGTAATCAGAGGAGAATATCTAGGAGGATCTGAGCAGAGAAGGTCTGTTGAGAGGGAGAAGAAGGAAGGAGACTATTATTTATCAAGCCTTTACTGTGTGCTGGGTATTTTCATACGTTACTCAAAAAATATTTATAATATTCATTTTTGCAGGCAAAAAATTTGAGGTACAGAAAGATGAAGTGATTTTTCCAAGGTCACAGAGCTGTTAAGTAACAAGGGCAAATTTATAATCCATCAATTAGTGGGTGGATATTCATTTAGAGTGTTAAAGCTGATTAAATGGTGAATCTTTGAGGATGGAAAACATGGAAAGTGACTTGAGAAAATCTGGGTAATTTCAATGATGGGAATCTATGAGTGGTTGGAGTAGGGGACAGGGGCAGTCTAGGAAACTGTTTGTAGTTGGAACCATTTGTAGCAATTGTGGGAACACACCACATCCAAAGGGCTTTGAAGAAATGCGATATTGGTTGGCCTTTTAACTAATCAAGGTTTCAAACTTGACCAATTCCCTAGCATCCCACTATATTTCTAGTAAGCATAGACCTTTGGATTTTTAGATAAGTGCCCATAAGAAATATAAGCATGTTTAGGCTTGAACCTCTCACAGAACTGAAAGAAGCATAGTCAAAAGACTTGTTCAAGTTTTAGTTAGTTCACTGTAAAAATGAGGATATTACTGGGATTACTCCAGCTCATATTTACATGATTTAAAAGTACCAGGACATCACCTCAGCCTTCAGAATTCCCAATTATGTACTTCTCAACTAATGCTATTCACCTTAGAAATCACTTTATTTTCATTTCACCCACAAACTTCAAGGGCTCAACACTTTTTCTTCAAATGTTAGCATTCCCCTCGCTTCAGTGGACTCTTCCATCAAGGGACTCTGAGTAAGTTATTTTATTGATGCCCTTCCCTGGCACACTACTGGTCTCTAATCATTGAAGCATCCAGTCTATAAGTAGATGACAGAGTAGCTGCTGGAGATGAGGGAGGAGAGGAGAAAATTCTACACAGTAACAGACTTGGTCCACCATCAATTTACAAAGTCCAAATATAATTCCTATTCTTGCTGCTCTCTGGCAGCCTCCTTTCATTAACTGCTCAGGGTTTTCACTATTCTGATTTCTCCATATCCTTCTTTACTTCTAGCTGTTAATCTTGCTTCTCATTTAGCCAAAATCAAGACACTTGTCCCAGGCTCTCTCATTTCACCTCCACATTTCAATCCATCACTGTCTCTACGTACAGATTGTTTCATCCTTCCCTGACGTCTGGGGAAAAAAAGCATTTTAAGGAAACGTCTTTACCTAAGCTCTATCTCAAATCCCCTTTTTTTTTCTTGAGAAGGTAATTGTCATCATTTACTTTTCTTCTATTATTTTAATTTCTCCTTTTTTGTTGACTCTTTTTTTATGTCCTGATCATGGGTAATATTTTTCTTTAAGTTTTGGTAAATCAATAGGAGAAATAATATATCATTATTCTTTAAGCTGAACTTTCTTGAATTACGTGATTGGAAATTTAAATGTTTAACAGTCATTTCATTACCTACCCAGTGTATTGTCTTTTGAATATTTATGCCACTTTTTCCACTGATAAATTAATATAAACTTTGCAATGGTTTTTAAACTTGTTTATGAATTAATATTAAGCATTTGTCTGTCATCTTTGTGACAAATTTTTCAGTTTGTTGCATCTTACAAATGTTAACAAACGGAAGGGAGCAGCCCTGGTAGCCTAGTGGTTATGTTCGGCGCACTCTGCTTTGGCAGCCCAGATTCGATTCCTGGGCACAGACCTGTGCCACTTCTCTGTCAATGGCCATGCTGTTGCAGCAGCTCATATGCAAAAGAAGGAAGGTTGGCAACAGATGTTAGCTCTGTGTGAATCTTCATCAGCAAAAAATAACACCCAAAACAAGAAACCATTAAACTGTTTAAAAAAAAAAGAAATGGAAGAAATTTAAAAAGTTTAATCTTATGTATCACATTGCTCACCATTTGCCTTTGTGATATCTTCAAATGCTTCTGTACTTAGAATGTCATTTACTTTCTGTATTTCAGATTAATATTTGTTTTTATTTTATTATTTAAAGTTTTGAATTCACGTAGAATTGCTTTTCCCTCTCTTATAATATTACAAGTTTATCATAGGTCATAAAAATAACCAACCATCTTTGACTTGTCCAGCTTAATTCATACTCCGTGTCATTAATTTACAATTTTGCCAAATTAAATCAAATTTTACAACCTTACTGATTTATTCTATTAGACAATAATCATAGTAAGAAGAAGAACGTCATATTAGTACACAGTATAATCGTTAATGTGTTATTTAATACTATGCATAATACATAATAGGCTTTCAATAAATGTTTGCTGAATTGGATTACAAAATTGGGTTATCACATTAAGTCAAGGTCATGGTAAGTATTTTATTAATATAATGCTTTGCAGGGTCTTCTTGAAACTATACTTTTAACCAAGCCAACTTATATATCATTCAGTTGTCCTCATTCCTTATTTCTATATTCTTTCTTCTTTCTATCCAGCTTCAGATGATGTTGGCATAGTCTCCTCTCTGTTTCTCGTTCTAGAATTCAACTGCCTGATTTCAAACGGCATGTATTGACCTGGTGTCTCTTCTTCCTTTTGACCATTTTGGATGACCACTCATCTTTAGTCCCTAGGGTTCCCTATCTAAATGAGCTAGTCCATAGGACTTGCCTTGTCCCTTCAAAAATATGGCAGCCTTCACTCCCAAAAATGTCTCTACAATTTCAACTTTCCAATATTGCCTATGGTAAGGAAGACACAAAGACGTATTTGCTTGGCTAATTAATTATTGACCATATATTTTATTTTATGAGAATCAATTTGGATAATGCTAGCTCTAGCAAAGATAAACAGAGTTCAGAGACTCCTAATAGGAAATTATTAAGCATATTATGTTTGCTAAGGAATGGAACTCTATAGTCGATAGATAAACTGTTTTTAAAAAAAAGAAAGAAAGAAAAGGAAAGAATTGCAGTGGAAGAAAAGCAGACACTAATCCTGGTATTATTTTTCTTAGTATTGAAAAACAGTTTCCTAGGTAGTCATATGATCAAACTTTCTGAGAATATGTAGATTGAGTGTATAATTTAAAATTTCCTGAAACAAATATAGAGGATGCAGAGGAGGGACAGATAAAGATGAATGAAAGGAACCGAACAAGGAAATAGTATGAAGATTCCGATTGAATAAAATTAAGCACCTAGTGTTGCCCTCTATAATTTTTTTTTAAGAAATAGAGTTGAAGAAGAAGAAATAGGTATATATGTGTTTTAGGACTAGTGAGAAGAAAAATAATGAGTCAGAGACTAAAATTGTGTCGGCATGCTGTAAAACAAGACTTTTTGTAGAAAGAACTGGGGATGTGAAACTTCAAAGTTTTGCCGAAGGCTGCCTCTATTCATCTTCATACATGCAACAGGCAAAAAAATAATAATAATGTAGAAGTATTTCCTGTCTGGTATATCTCCATAGATTCACATTTTTTAGGAAGTATAGCATTATTTTTGTAGGAATTATAATTTTTATGTTTAATAAGAAGAAAGTTAGAGACATGTCTTTGTATGGTTCATTAAAAATACTAGAAACCAACATTAATTAAACACTGACTATATGTCAGACACTATGCTAAGTTCCTAAATCATGTTTCATTTTATCTTTACAGAAACCATATGAGATAACACAACTATAATACATGTTTTACAGATGAGGAGACTGAAGCTTAGGGAGATCAGGTAGCTGGTCATTCAAATATAAGTGGCAGAGCTGGAAATTGAACCCAGGAATCTGATCACAGAGCTACCATAGCACAAAACCCTAATATTAAGTCACACAAAATCCAACTTCTAATATTAGTGATATCAAAATTAGTGGTTGTGTTAAGAATGCTTGTATAAATGATCACTGCAGCTTTACAGACTTAATCCTTCATCCGTGGATTGGTTTAATAGTTGTAATTATAAAATATGCAGTCACGCACCACGTGATGTTTTGGCCAGCGACAAACTGCTTATGTGATGGTGGTCCCGTAATATCAGTACCATACAGCCTAAGTGTGTAGTAGTCTGTACCATCCAGGTTTCTGTAAGCACACTCTATGATGTTTGCGCAATGACGAAATCACCTAACGACACATTTTGCAGAATGTATCCCCGTCATTAAGCGACACATGACTGTATTATGTATTTGATTGCATTAGTAAGTGGTATACTAATAATTAACATTTTTATTGATGACGCGGCATCCTGACAACAGTCACTTGAAATGACAGAAGTGATGTAGTTCATTGGATTCATTCTAAACATAAAAAGTCATATCGTCTATCTGGATCTCATGAATAAATCCATAACCCCATGACCTCTCCATAGCCTTCTTTATTGTATATGCAGGAACTAATAAGCAATGTGAAATGGGTATCTTTGTGAAGAATATTGAATTAAGACCGAGACAGTTGTCTCCTCAGGTTTGCCTAAGTGGCAGTACTTGATAATTCCAAAATTTAGAGTGGTAGATTATTGAAATGTAATTCTACTTGTTTTTATTCTTTAGAGATTTTGAATGAAAGGGAGAGTACTGAAGAGTAAAGAATATATTACCAGTGAAGCAGGTTTATGGAGATGTTATTATTTTAACAGAAGAGAGGGGCAGGAGATTTTCTCAGGAAAGTAAATGTACATATTGCTTTGGAGGAAATGCATAAAAAGAAAGCAGGTAATGAAAAGATAGTTTTGTCGGTTTAGTTT